TAATTTTTGAGAATTATTCCACGCATAATCATTTTTTGCTATCAGATCAGACAGTGATTGTGATAGACAGTGCATACCGAGATAAAGTCTCCTTCTCTGAAGGATTGACCATTCTTCAAAGTTAAAGAAGATAAAACCTTCCATGTTTTTGACGGGTAAGCCTCCCAGATCGCCGTTGGGATATTGGGTTGTGGTGGTTGTGCAGAATGAATCCCTAAAAAACCATCACATTAGATTGCGCATGTAGCCAAAGGAAATCAAACACTGGTGACGCACTTCCTGTCTTAAATGTCTCTGGCTCATTCCATTTGGAATTATATCCCAACGCCTTTTGGAACAGGATGTTAGTTTTGAATAACTCTGCAACCTTCCTTCCAGCCTTCACATAAGTACGCATGCCTCGGTCATACATCATACTTGCCGCCGTAACTGATCTGATGAGTCGGTGATTGTTGAATGAGTTTGCAATGTCCTTACTAGGACTCAGATGGTTTGAGTGGAAGGAAGACTCGCGAGTGTTCCCATTGTAACCTTCAAAGTTTTCAGTGGCAAACAGGCATGCAGGACCATACCTTTCAATTGCATCGCAGATATGAATAAGCATGTGAAATTTCGGTTTATTGCACCATTGAGCTGAGAGTTGTAAGATTGATTGAAGAAATCTATCGATGAGAATCCGAAGCTCCTTGATGTATGCCTTCATGTCGTGAATGCCTGTCTGAAATATATAAGGTGCCAGATGAGCTAAAGAAGTCCAAGCCTCACGTTCTTCATCCGATAATGAACAATGAAAGAAAATGAATGGAGCTGCTTGCAGAACCACACGAAACTCCTTTCCAGTTAAACTGAGAAAGTGGTTGATCATTGACTTGGGTTGAATGGGAGGAACATTCAACCCAGAGGTGTTGAAAGATCACCATCGACCCCATATGTCATTCTTTTCGGCGGCAGTGCATTTCTGCATTCTGTCTTGTAGTAAATACTTCGCCAGGCCCAATAAAAGTACGTGGAGGATTTCCACAGGGGTGTCTAGATGTCCATCAAATCCTAGATTGCAGTCGCTCAAGTTAGTTGCACTGACAATAAATGATGTCTTGAGGGCTTCACACCCACCTTTCAAGCGTAGGAATGGATTGACAGACGCTCTCCAAAAGCAT